CAAAGAATTCCCGTATGTCCTTCACTTAGATTGTTCAGTAAGTATGATACTGCAAATATTTCATATAAGTTTTCATGTGCATCTCTGCATATTTTTTTTCTGATATTTCATTATCTTCTTGTATTTCCCTAAAAAAAACAGGGACACTGTTCTACAAAACCACAGGGTAACTATCAAGCTCAGGACATTAACTTTGCTGTGATACTACCATCTAAATCACAGATACCATTCCAATTTCACTGGTCATCCCAACATGTCATTTATAGATCAAGAATCCAACCCAGGATCACTCATTGCATTTTGTTGTAATATCCTCTCAGTATTTCCTTGTGTTTCATAGCTTTGATAGTTTCGAAGGGTACAGGTCAGTGATTTTATAGAACAGTCTCAATTCAGTTTTTCTGTCTCATCATGATTGACTGAGGTTATCCATCTTTAGCAGGAATACCGTGCAAATGCTGCTGTCCTGTGTTCTCCATGCACTCCAGCAAGGGGCATCTGTTTCAATTTGTACCATTCCTGGTGATAACTCTTTTTTTTTTTTTTTTTTTTGAGACTGAGTTTCGCTCTTGTTACCCAGGCTGGAGTGCAATGGCGCGATCTCGGCTCACCGCAACCTCCGCCTCCTGGGCTCAGGCAATTCTCCTGCCTCAACCTCCTGAGTAGCTGGGATTATAGGCACGCGCCACCATGCCCAGCTAATTTTTTGTATTTTTAGTAGAGACGGCATTTCACCACGTTGACCAGGATGGTCTCGATCTCTTGACCTCGTGGTCCACCCGCCTCGGCCTCCCAAAGTGCTGGGATTACAGGCTTGAGCCACCGCGCCCGGCCTTCCTGGTGATAACTCTTATCACTTGATTAAGATGTCTCAGCTGGGCGTGGTGGCTCATGCCTGTAATCTCAGCACTTGAGGTCAGGCGAATCACCTGAGGTCAGGAATTTGAGACCAGTCTGGCCAATATGGAGAAACCCTGTCTCTACTAAAAATACAAAATTAGCCAGGTATGGTGGCACATGCCCATAATCCCTGCTACTTGGGAGGCAGAGGCAGGAGAATCGCTTGAATCGGGAGGCAGAGGTTGCTGTAAGCTGAGATCTCACCACTGCACTCCAGCCTTGCCAACAAGAGCAAAACTCCGTCTCAAAAAAAAAAAAAAAGATATGTCTGCTATGTTTAATCACTGTAAAGTCATGATTTTGTACTTGTTAATAAGTTATTCATATAATCATTTTACTGTAAGGTAGAGATTTTTCTTTTCCCCCACTATTCAAATTGGTAAGGACTAATAGATTCTTATTTGTATCCAGGGAGTTGAAACCCATTATTCATAATTATTATTAATTTTGATGCTCAGATTGTTCCAGATAAAGCAAGTGGGACCACCTTTAATCCAGCTTCTGGATCCTTTAGACACAACATCATCCCTCGAGCACTTCTTACTTTCTGGAATACCAAGATGCTCCAAGTTTATTTTGCACTGTCTCTACTCCAGTTCTGAAATCAGTCGTTTTTCCTTGGAGCCCTGGTACCTTTTAGTGGAGAATGGTATTCAGAAACCAAGATACGGCTTAGTGGCGGAGGTGTGCCCATTGCTACTGGGTATCATTACTGCTAGGCCTTCCTAGAGGGTAGAGCTCATAGATGTATGCATGTATATGCATCACACATGCGCGCACACACACCCTCCTGTATTTATTTCAATATATATCTACATATGTTAAAAACCACAAGTTCATCCAGATACCTCCAATTTCAATCCAGCACCACAGGGTTTACTCTAGTTTTCTCCCTTTCCATCTTTGTAAGCCTGGCTCCCATTTTCTTCAGCATGTTTACATGTTTGTTTAATCCCCTTATATGTAAGTAAGTAATCTCCAGCCATGCCAGCCAACCACTCCTCAGCTTTGTGGTGACCTCGTGGGCCACTGTGTGGCTGAGAGGGAGAGGCAAAGCTTTTTAGGCTTTGACTTCGTGATTCCATGGGACCGTTGTGGGCCCTTTGATGCTTTGAAGAATTTTTTTTTTTTTTTTTTTTTTTTTAAAGACAGGGTTTCACCATGTTGGTCAGTCTGGTCTTGAACTCCGGACCCCAGGTGATCTGCTCGCCTTGGCCTCCAAAATGCTTGGATTACAGGCGTGAGCCACTACATCCAGCCGCTTTGAAGAATTTTTTACACTTCACCCATTTTTAGTTGTTTTCACCTAGAGGGCTGGCCAGGATGAAATTGCCTGTAGTATTCTCATAAGTTAAACAAAATATACTTTTATGTGTTTGATGAGAAGAACAAAATGGAAAATTGAAAAGTACTACTTTGGGTGTTGTTGCCTGGCTTCATTGAAATCTTGCCTGGATCTTTTTTTTTTTTTTTGAGACAGATTTTCGCTCTTTGCCCAGGCTGGAGTGCAATGGTGCGATCTCAGCTCACTGCAAACTCCGCCTCCCGGGTTTAAGCGATTCTCCTTCCTCAGCCTCCTGAGTAGCTGGGATTACAGGCCTGTACCACCACACCCGGCTAATTTTTGTATTTTTAGTAGAGACGAAGTTTTATCACGTTGGCCAGGCTGGTCTGGAACCTCAGGGGATCCGCCCACCTCGACCTCCTAAAGTGCTGGGAGAGAAGCTCAAGAGAGAATGATGTGTGGTTTCCTGGCCAGCTGCTTCATGACCAAACAGCAAGGAATGCCAAACACCCAGCCTAGAATAGGAGGATGACCCCACCCCTGCTCAGCTGGCACCACGTAACAGGGTTCCGCAAGGCTGCGCTGAGTTTCCAAGTTTCAAATCCTGTTAGGCAGGGCTCTTCTGGCCGTGTGGGACAGGATTCAAACAACGTTTTTTCAGCCAAAAGGGGGATTGATTGGAAAGACGTGGGCATGACACAGAACAGCCTGGTATCGGGAAAGGCCAGAGTAAGCTCGGGTTTCCTCCCTAGTCTTTCCTCTCCCCACCTCTTTTCTTTTTTGAAACAGTCTCGCTCTGTCACCCAGGCTGGAGTGCAATGGTTGGATCTTGGCTCACTGCAACGTCTGCCTCCTGGGTTCAAGCGATTCTCCTGCCTTAGCCTCCTGAGTAGCTGGCATCACAGGTGCCCACCACCATACCTGGCTAATTTTTGTACTTTTAGTAGAGACAGACAGGGTTTCACCATATTGGCCAAGCTGGTCCCGAACTCCTGACCTTGTGATCCAGCCTCCCAAAGTGCTGGGATTACAGGCATGAGCCACTGTGCCCAGCCTTGTACTTTTAATAGAGACGGAGTTTCACCATGTTGGCCAGGCTGGTCTCAAATTCCTGACTTTAGGTGATTCACCCGCCTTGGCCTCCCAAAGTGTTGGGATTACAAGCATGATCTCACTGCGTCCTGCCTCCACCTCTTTTCTTGTGGGTTTCTTTCTCTCTCTGCAGGCCCCACAGAGTCGCCTGGGCTGGAGGCCTCATAGAGGTGCCCTCAGTGCTAACCACACATTGCAGTCCCCTGAGAAGCTACATGACTTCAGATGCCCAGGTCCACCCGGACCAGTGAAGTCAGGATGTCTGGGGTTGGAGCCTGGGCATTGCGCCCCCTAGTGACTCGAATGTGCACACAGGTTTGGGAACCACTACATTATAGCTTCAGGCACCCAGAGGAGAAATTCTTGGCATTCTCATTCATGATTAGAGGGGCAGGACTCTGGGGAACCTATTTAGGCCAGGTAGCCACACCCTCCAACCACAGGCTGGACAAGCCCCTGCAGCACCCCGATGGGTGTGCGCACTGGCCAGGCCAAGCTCCAAGGGGTCAGTCCCCCAGCAGCTCCCTGCCATTTGTGTCACTCCTCCCACCCCCGCCCTCAGCTGCAGTATACATCGAAGTCGTCTCAGCTGACTTGGTTTCCATCACTTTCTCTCTCAGAGATAAACTCGAAGGAGAAGCTGACCTGCATTCTTGAGATCTGGGGAGTTAATGGGAGATGTGGTCACAAGACAGGTGGTGGAGGGGGCCAGAATGGAGCTGGCCGAGCAAGGTGCCTGGCAGGGAAAGGGAGGCTCAGTGATGGATGCTCTCTCTCACCAGAAGCCTGCCATGCAGTGGCCAGGGAGACTCAGAGTCCCGGAAGAGGGTTTGGGGTGGGAGAAGCCTGAGCATGAGGGGCGGGGCTGGCACACTCTGGTTCCGGGAGGTGTTGGCCAAAGGACTGTGGCCTTGGGACTGATCGGGGCTGGTTTCCCTGCATTCCTCTCAGGCCCTTCCCCCTCTATACCAAGCAGGGATGGCACCTGGACTTCAAGACCAAAAGCCCTTCTAGCTTTGACTGCACTGCTAGGTGCAGCACACAGCTCCAGCCACAGTCTCGGGGCAGCCTAAGGCTGCCCCTCCCCACTCTGGTTCTAGGGCAAAGATCTTGGCCCTTAGCTGAGCTGGAGAGGAGGAGTGGCAGGTGTGGAAACGAGGGGCAGGACTGGGGTGAGCAGAGCTGGGGGCTGCAGAGCTTGCTCAGGACAGTCCTAATGCCTGCAAGGTCCTAATGCCTGCCCCGCATTCCCTCTTCTATGTGGGAGGCTCCTACACTGTGTCCCCTCACCTACCTCTGATCCCCAGCATCCAGCTGGAGAGCCTTCTAGGAATTGTCCCTTCCCTTAGGAGGGCTCTCAGGGGTGGACCAGGTTAACAGGGGCAGGGTTTGTTATCTTGGGGCCTATGTCCACACCAGGGGCTCCCCGACCCTGGGGCCTGCTTCCAGAGCTGGGCCAGCCTCAAGGGCAGCCTCCAGGGTGGGTGGGGTCTCCCATCAAGGAGGACCTTGTGCCAAGGCCAAGGCCAGGTTTGGGAGTGGGGTCCCTAGGAAAGGGGTAGGAGCCCTGAATTATTTCCTGCTCAGCCTTGGATGTGCTGTGGAACCCACCCTGGCCTGGTGTCTCCTCATCTTTCTGCCCAAGAGCCCCAGGGGTCAGCACTGACCACTGACCCAGGACCCGCCCAAGCCATGCTGAGGACAGACGAAATGACACCATGACTGGGGCTGGATGTTCACTTCTGTTTTCAAAAAATATGAAACACACAGTCTAGGTATGGCAAAGGACAGAGCCTGGTTGGGGACTGGACATTACACACCCAGGGGGCCCTTGGCGGAGGCGGGCAATTTAACAACTGGTCTGAAAGTCAAAAAAGAGAGAGCTGGTTAGTGGATAGCTGTGGGGGTGGGGGCAGGGGCTGTGCATTCAGGCCTGGACACAGCGGCTGGCCAGCGCGGCCAGACCTTGGGCCTCACAGCAGCCCTGCCTAGGACCCATTCCCAGGGGTGGGGGCGCCGTGGTCCTACCTAGCCATCTGTGTGGGTGGCCCCCGGCGCTGGGCACACTGGAAGAACCTGAGACCTGAACTCAGACCCTCCCTGTACCCGTGTGAACATTCAGCATCCCGGCACTGCCCTGTGGGGTTGCAGTGAGGAGCCCTTGGGATTGGGATGAAGGGTTCTGCTCACCCCAAGGACCTGGGTACTAAGGGTGTCTTGGCCACTGCTGTATCTCCAGGGCCTAGCACAGAGCAGACATCCACGCAGCTCTTCAGTGAGTAAACAAAGGAGCAGGTGAAAAGGCGGCAGCTGGGCTGGTGCCTGAGGGTCTGTCCCCAGGGACACATGCTGGTGCCCACGAGGCTGTGCAGACAGCACCATGCCTGGACCTGCATCTCTGTGTGTGTGCCTGGGGGCTGGGTCCTGCCTCTGGCCTTTCTCTGAGGTTCTGGGTCTCAGATTGTAGGGTAGGTGCTTGTGTTGAGGACAAGCTTCTCAGAGCACCAGACTAAGCTCTGGGGACATCCTGTGCTTTACTGGCCCTGCCCTGGGTGCTGCGAGGCTGGTTGGAGGCTGGGCGAGGGGGCCGCTGGGCGGGGGGCTGGCCAGGGCAGGCGGAGCTCAGACGTACTCTCGGGCAGCAGTGGAGGGTCCGGGCCGGTAGGGCTGCGGGCTGCTGTTGGGTCTCTCTGGCTCCGGGCACGTGCAGCAGAGGAAGGAGCCCCCCAGCACGGCCAGGCCAGCTGAGGCCCAGCCCACAAACAGGGCTGGACCAAATTCATACCTGCAAGGGGTAGGGAGAATGGCATCAGGTGTGGCTGCTGTCTCAGGGTGTCCCCAGCCCCTGCCCTGGCAGCGGAAGGGCAGGGTGTGTGGAGCTGGAGGCTGGGGCCTCACAACCTCCTCCATCTCTCCAGATAAACTGGGGTGAATGCACTTCCTTTCTCCCTCCCCCCAGCCCAGAATATCAACACCACACTGAGTGAGCCAGGACCAAGCTGGGCATGAAGGCTGGAGGCTTGGCCTCATGCTTGTGCTCTGAGCAGCCAGGGCTCATTTCCTGATCCCGCCAGTGGAGGGGGCATGGGAGGGCCTGAGAGGGCTGCCCTGGAGGAGCGGAGCAATCCCTGCCGTCTTTTTTCCCAGTCACAGTCTGGCCCCACTGAACTCCCAGCCAGGAGGGCTCCCACTGCCCTTGGGAGAAGCCCACACCCCTCCACCTGGCGCTCTGGGCTCTCCACACCCAGGCTCTGCTGGCCTGTCCAGCCCCGCTCCTGGTCTCACTGCCTCGGTGCCTTTGCACACGGCACCCTCTGCTGGGCACTAAGCCTGCCACTCCCTATGCCTTCCCAGCTCCTTCTCTGCCTTCAGTTCAGAGGCCACCTCCTCATGGGGGCTTTCCTTGACATCCTCTCTGTGTTCACCCCGCCCCCTGTGCCGACCCCACTGCCACACTCTCTCCAGGAGGCCTCAGCCCCTTGCCCTCGGAAGTCCCCTGAGGGCACACAGAGCATGGGATTCATCAGTGTCCCCAGGACCCAGCACAGGGCCTGTCACCACCTGAGTGGCCTTGGGGACTGTTGAAGGGATGGGGGGCTGAGTCCTGTCCTGACATGCCTGAGCTGGACCTTGCCTGGCGGACTTTGTGGCTGTAGCTGCCTGCCCAGGGAACAAACTTTGTACCTGAGGTCTCCTCCTTCCCCTCCGCTCTCCATACATCTGCCTCCTCCAGGGAGCTCTCGCAATTGCAACAGCCCAGGCATCTGTTCTCATCCTCTTTCCACCCCAGGGCCCAAAGCCCACTGGGACATCTGGGTTTGAGGCTGTTCCATTCTCTGCTTCTGGCTGGGCTGAGAGGTGAGGGAGGAGCCAGGGTGGGCCCAGGCCTTTTGCAGAGCCTCCTCTTCAACTCCTGTGCCCACAGCCTTGCAAGTCCTGGTCATCTAGCTCCTGAATAGCAGCCTGCTTTCCACTGCTCCCTCCCTGGTGCCCCAAACCCTCTGCTTAGACCTTCAGGACAGCCGCATTCCTGTGTCACCCCCTCCCCACCATTCTGCACATCACAGCCAGAGGGACTGCCACTGCCTCCGCCCGGATGAGGAACAAAATCTTCCTATGGCTGCAAGGACCTCTACAATCTGCCCTTATTCTCAGGTTTCTTCCTGGCCCAGAGTAACTGCTGCCTCCTGCAGGAAGTCATTTCAGCTCTGCTGCCACCAGCAGAAATAAAAACAGCTCAGGCTTGCTAGGCACTGTCCAGGGCCGAGACACTGTGCCACACCCTCACCTGCATCTTGCTGGATGCTTGTGTTGAGGACAAGCTGCTCAGAGCACCAGACTGAGCTCTGGGGATATCCTGTGCCCTACTGGCCCTGCCCTGGGTGCTGTGAGGCTGGCTGGATGCTGGGCAAGGGGGCCCCTGGGCGGGGGGCTGGCCATGTGTGAACTGGTGCTCAGGCTCTAGCTCCATGTTACAGAGGAGGAAACTAGGCACAGAAGGATTGAGCAACTTGCCCAGGTGACGCAGTGCACGCAGAGCTGGGATGGATGGATTGATTTTTTTGAGACAGAGTCTTACTCTGTCACCCAGACTGGAGTGCAGTGGTGCGATCTTGGCTCACTGCAACCTCCGCCTCCTGGGTTCAAGCTATTCTCCTGCCTCAGCCTCCCAAGTAGCTGGGATTACAGGCACCCATCACCAACCCCAGCTAATTTTTGACTTTTTGGTAGAGATGGGGTTTTACCATGTTGGCCAGGGTGGTCTCGAACTCCTGACCTCAGGTAATCTGCTCGCTTCAGCCTCCAAAAGTGCTGGGATTATAGGTGTGAGCCACTGCATCCATCCAAAGCTGGGATTGAAACCCAGAGCCAGGAGACCTAGATCCTTAGAGAGTCCTTGCTGCACCTGGGAGCCTGCTGCAGGCCTCCTGCCCCTGTGGAGGGCCCCACCACACTCCACCTGGCTCCCCTCTTTAGAGCTTCTTGGACAGCAGCTGGATCCCGTCCCCCTCTTCCTCCTCCAGGTGATCCAGTGGACAAAGCTCAGTGGCCCCAGAGGAGGTGAAGCAAGAGACTCAAGCCCTGACACCCACCTGGCATTGACAGGTGTGCTTGGGTTGAAGAACTCCTGGGTCACCAGGGTGGCATACCATGAGACAGCAGTCAAAGTGCAGAGGCCTAAGGACAAAGCAGAGGGGCACTCAGCTCTGCTCTGCAACCCTCCCACCCTGAGGCCACTGGTGCTGGGGCTGCCTGCTGTGGCTGGGATTGCGGAGAAGGGAGGGACACTCACCTGCCAGGATGAAGAGAGCACCCCCGGAGATGGCGACACGGCCCTTGGCGATGGGGTTGCTGTCTCCCACCCGTGTGCACTTCATGCCAACCACACTGAGGACCATGGCCACGAAGCCCAGGAGCACGGCCACCACCATCAGGGCCCGAGCTGACTGGATGTGACCTAGGGCAGGCAGGGTGGCACTGAGTGGGGCTGGCGGGGATGGGGGCTGGGTTGGTGCCTGGAAGGAGCCCAGCTTGAGAGGGAGCTGGCCTGGGGGTCAGACCACCTGCTGGCAGGTGCGAGATAGTGCGGAGGGACAGCCCAGGCGTGAGGACAGGGCATGGGGGTGAGAGTCCCTTTCACTGTCAACACCGTTCTCCACTTGACCTTGCAGACTTTTCTGGTAGTTTGATTCTGCTGCTGCTTTCTGGCCTGGGGACTCCCTTTTGGGCTTGGCCCACCCTCCTAAGCAGTGGAGGGCAACTCCTCCAGGGGCCCCCAGAAGGAACAGCTGAGGGTATCTGGGGCCCAGCTCAACCCAGCCTGAGCCCTGCAGCAACTCCTCCCCAGCAGCCATTCAGACAACAGTCACCTTCCCCTCTGTCCATGGCAGCTGGAAGCTTGCCTCTCCATAGGTGCATGGGTCAGTCCTGGGCCCTAGGGGGTGCTTAGGAGACCTGGGTCCTTCAGCAAGGCTAGATGATGACCTGCCTGAACCGGCACAGTGGGGCTGATTGATGGCCATGGGGAGCAGATTGCCCCTAGGGGGTCCTAGGCAGATTGCAGATGGGCCACCTCCACTCCAGAGTTAGAGCTATAGCAGTCCCCACACCCCAGAAAGAGAGGGACGGCATGCAGATGCACCTGTCTGTGCATGTGCGTGTGTGTGCAGGCATGTGCATGTGTGTGTGTGCACCCATATGCTGGCATACTACCCTGGGCGGCAGGAGTGCACGCAGTGTGTGTCTACTGAGTATGGGGGAAAGTGGATGAAGGGTCTTCACTGAGCCTTTCAGAGTGCCACAGGTATTAGTATTCCCCTTGAGAGATGAGAACATCACAATGCCAAGAGGGTTGGTGACTGGTTCAAGGTTATGGTGGCAGAGCAGGGATCCGGACCCACAGCTTCCAGACCCTAGAGCCCTCCCCTCCCACAGGGCAGCAGGCTGGCCTGGACTGTCGGATGGGCACAGGGCAGTAGTGGGGGATTGTGGAGGATGGAGCCCAGCACAGACAGCAGTCTGCGAGGAAAGCTTGCTCCAGAACCCCCTGCTGTTCCCACCTCCCACCCCACTGGCCTGAGGCCTACCGTCCAGGGCGAGCAGCGAGTCGTAGAGCTTGCACTGCACCTGCCCGGTGCTCTGGGAGGCGCAGGACATCCAGAGCCCTTCATAGAGGCCCACGGCGGTGATGATGGCGTCGCCTGCGTAGGAAGACTGCTTCCACTGTGGCAGGGCCGTGCTAGCGATGATGCCCACCCAGCCACCCAGGGCCAAGAAGTAGCCCAGGAGCTGGAGGCCTGAGTTGGCCATGACCCAGGGGAGGGGACCAAGGGTCCCGGGACTCAGAGCTGGGCCAGGGTCCCAGCAGGGGCTGTGGTCATGGCCAGGTGGGAGGAGCAGTTGGACAGAGGGAGCAGCGAGGAGGAGGATCAGAGGCAGGGAAGGAGAGGTGATGGGTCGGCGAGAAGGAGGGTCAGAGGCAGGGAAGGAGAGGTGATGGGTCGGCGAGAAGGAGGGTCAGAGGCAGGGAAGGAGAGGTGATGGGGCGGCAGTGGCTGGAGCAAAGGCAGTGGCTCTGGACTCCAGAATGCAGGGGGAGGCCCAGGGGCTGGAAAAGGCCAGGGCCCGCCCACAGCAGCCGCCTAAGCCAGAGCAGGGTCCCCAGCAAAGCTCATGCCCAGCCCCCTGGGGGCGGGAGGCCGGCCGGCCCACAGCCCAGGTGGTGTCCCTGCCCCGCCCCAGTTCCCCACGGATAGGGAAGGGAGGGGCTGAGGGGAGTGACCCAGCTGCCTTCAGGGACTTTCCCCCCAGGAAACCCCTTTAGGAACCTGATTCAGGTGCCCTAAAATTCAGATAATCCCTCACCCAAACACCAGCCCTGGGAGAATGGACTTTGCTCTTGCAAGGCTGATCTGACCCTTGGGGTTTTCTGCCCTTTGACTTTAGAACAGAAGGGAAAGGGATGCCAGCTTGCAGCAGGTAAAACTAGAGTTAGACGTCAGGGAGAACTTTTTGGCAGAGGATCTGAAGCTAGATGTGGGCAGATGGAGCTAGGGGTGGGGAGTTGGGGGGAGGGGTCATGGGTAGCTGGGAGCTGTGTGTGCCAAAAATCAGGAAGGCCAGACCAGGAAATATGTACTGCGGGGTCTTTTTGTGATCTAAGGGGGACAGAAAAGGGGCCCTATCAAAGCTGGGCCAGCGCTGGCTGCCGGCCAGCAAGGGGCCCGGTGGGGAGCTGGGGAGACAGCCCCGACCTTTTGGCATCAGCCTGAAGGAAGGCGGATTGCTCAGCCCCTTAATCCCCTTGCTGGCTGGCTTAGCAGCTCCTGCTGGGACCTGGAACACTGGGCCCTGGCCCCCAGCTCTAGAGCAGCCTGGCTCGGAGCAGCGGCCTTTGCACATTCCTGGGGTTCAGGCTGCCCCCTCCTAGCACCCCCACCTCTGTCTCCTCTCTCCCAGTCTCTCTCTCAGTCCTCAGGAGTAGGGGAATGTTTAACTCTCTTCGACCTCATTAGCAATCCCCTCACGTTCAGTTGGTCCCCACTGCGGTGTAGGTGGAGGAGGAATGTCACAACCATGCTCCCACTCCTGCCTGCCTCTGGCCGCCCCCTCTGTCCCCAGCAGCCCACCCACCTTTCCTGGACTGCACTGGGGGAAGGCAGGGTCCTGCTGCAGACCCCTGCTGGCTTCCTCCCCCACAGCCCCAACCCCCCTCTGCAGGGACAAGTCCCTAGCCTGCCGTGCTCCCTCGCATTCTTCACGTGGCTATGCAAACGAGAGGGTGCCAGGCGCTGGGCAGACAATGGCAGCCCTGTGTGCCCGCCCAGGGCGTAGGCCTCTGGTATGGCCTGCAGCTCTGGCCAGAGCTGGGGGAGTGGTCTGCCATCTGAGGGTCAAGGGTAGGCACTGCTTGGCCTGTGGTGCCGCACATCTGAGGCCCCCTGTGCTGGGAGGGTCAGAGTCGTATGGATCTGGGCACACACAGACCTGCTTCCTGGATGATCTGTGGGTCCCAAAGAGCAAATGGGGTCTACGACAGTGGCAGACAACTAAGTCCTGAGCTCAAATTCTTCTGCCACAAAGACAAGACAGTAGGGGCAAGGGAGCCTCCTCCATCCTGCTGGGGCCGCAGTGGGCACGCTGTGACTGGTGCATCCTAATTTAAGCATGCAGGGTTGCATGCAGGCAGAGGCCTCCTAACAGCAAGGAACCCAAGGCAGAGGGAGGTAACAGGCCCACAGCTAGGAAGCAGCGGGAAGGGCTTACCACTTGAATCTGTGTCGTGCTGGCCCCCATGGTCTCCCACACTCCTTCCTTTTTGAGGGTGGCACCAGGTCCAGTTTGAAGGGGGGCGGCAGGCAGTCACAAGACACTCTCCTGAGGTGACTTGAGTGACTGTGGTGCCTCAGGGTCCTCACTCTAAATGGAGGGCCTGCTTCATGGAGCTGTGGTGGTCTGTTAAGGTAATCAGTGTCTGCGGAGGGCAGGGGCCTGGTGCTGGGTAGCTGCTCTGCACACATTTCTCCAAAGGCGAAGCCCTTCTCTCCATGCTGGGGTTTGGCCCCTTTTCCCTGCCATCTGCAGATGCTCTTGCTGTAGGGAAGATCCAGGGGTCATTCTGGTTTCAGGGGGACCTGGGTGAGGCGCCCAGAGGCCAGGCAGAAACATGCCTCAGAGACACGGGCTGCAGTCCCCTCCATTGACAAGTTGAGAGCCAAAGAGGGAAAGGGAGCTGTGGTCCACAGGGCTCCAGAGCCAGCAGGAGGCCCATCTTGGGCATTCCCAGAGCCTCTTTGTGATCTAGAACAGTACACTCCTCTTCCTCTGAAGATCTTCTGTTTATCCCTTCTCTTTGTTATTTGAGGCTTTGAGTCTTCTATCAAAATATTCTCTCCTACCCTGATGGACTTCCCTCACTCTTGTTCCAAAGCCTTTTGGAATTCAGATTCCACTTCTGGAGTGGGACTCCCTAACCTGGCACAGCTTCTCCACCGAGGGCACCTACCACTCCTGGTGCCCCCCTTGCAGTCCAGTGACTCCCAGGCATGCGGGGAGAACAGGAAGGCTCAGGGTCCCAGCCCAGCCTCCATTAAGAGCTCACTGAAACTGCCCTGGGTGGCACATCACACTGTGCTTTCACTTACACTACAAGAAGCCTACAGTTGTAGCTTTACCTCTGCCATTGAAAAGCTACGTGACATTAGGCAAGTCCTCAGCTTCCCTGGGCCTGGTTTCTCCACTGGAAAGTAGGGATAACACTTGCCCTGTCTGTTGCATGAGGGAGTTTACAAGGATCAGATGTTAGGTGAGAAATGCCATCTGAAAGCATAAAATGGCCAGGCACGGTGGCTCACGCCTGTAATCCCAGCACTTTGGGAGGTTGAGGCAGGTAGGTCACCTGAGGTCAGGAGTTCGAGACCAACCTGACCAACATGGTGAAACCCCATCTCTACTAAAAATACAAAAAATTAGCCGAGGGTGGTGGCGTGTGCCTGTAATCCCAGCTACTCATGAGGCTGAGGCAGGAGAATCGCTTGAACCTTGGTGGCAGAAGTTGCAGTGAGCTGAGATCGTCCCACTGCACTCCTGCCTGGGTGACAGAGTGAAACTCTGAAAAAAAAAAAAAAAAAAAAAAAAGCAAGCAAGCATAAAACGCCTGCAGAACTGCAGCGAATGAAAGCTCTGTTCCAAAAAGACTCCCCGCACAGGCCTGCCCCTCCAGCCATCATACCCCAGGATCGGGCAGACTGCCTGCAGCTGAAGACCCACTGTCACCACTTCCTCTGCAACACTGCCTGACCGAGAGCTGGCCTTGCTAGGTATGTGTTGATCATTGACTGCTTGGTATGAGGATTCAATGTTTTTGCCTCCCTCCCTGTGAAAAATTGGAGACCTTTCCACTGCCCTCTCTCATTGCCAGTGAGGAGGGTCTGATTCAGTCCTTAGCAATCTAGCACCTTCTCTGAAATCATCATTTGAAATTTTGGAGTTCTAATCACCCTCCCAACTCAAGAGTCTGAGATTCCCAGAACTATAAGCTTGGAATGGAGACTACTTGCCTCGGGGCGCACAGTAGAAAGCAATACAGCTGTGCGGCCACCCCTGACGATTCTGCCTGCCCGGGCATGGCTAAGCATCCTGATCTGCGGTCCCATCATACTCTTGGCATAGTTCCATTCGCTGCGCTTAGCACATCGTTTATCTCCTTCTTGAGGTCCCTGAGCACGTTGAGGCTGCACTAGCAGCCACATTTTAGTGTTCTACCCTCTCGCCCGGGCCAGGCGCCTCTGTGACACATGTGGTCGTCCCATTTGCCTTCTCTCCTCTGCTAACCACACTTTTTACAGGATCTGTTCTCTTGATGCCCCTGCTGAGAGCTCTGCTAGATGCCTGGCGTACCAGAGACCAGCAGCGTCTTCCACATCCAAATCTTCCCCATGTTTGAGGAATTGCCCCTCATTCCCTCTGATCCTCCCACGGAGTCTCTCCTATCTTCTCAAGCAGTTGTCTTCCCATTGCTCACAGGCCCTGGCACATGCATTACCAAACACAGACCCAAATCACAGTTGCATCTCAGCCGGCCTGCCATCACCCCATGCTTCCAGGAGGACTCGCCCCACTCTAATTACATACACTTATCTTGGGCCTGCTGCCTTGAAAACATCTGGCCTTTTTGTGAGCTCAATTAAGAGGCTGCTGTCTGTATCTGATTAGCATAAGTTGAAACTGTAAAGGTCATCTGCCTTAATGTGGAAACTTATCGAAAACCAGAATTAGGCTGATACAGTCTTCTGTAATATCGATGTCCACCATGGGCTAAGTGTTGTGCTGGTTGCTTTGTGAGCATTCCCGAGTTCATCGCCTCAACCATCCTGGGAATGAGGAAACACACGCAGCTTCCCTAACTTGCTGGAAGTCACACAACTCCATGCGGTGGAAGTGGCGGTGTCACCCAGCTCAGTGTGTGGGTAAAGTTCATGCTCTTTGCACTAACGCGGTCCTCTCTGTATGCAGAGTGAGCCACCCAAATAGGAGAGCAGGGATCAAGCATGATAAAAGGAATGACTTATCTTGACTGCATCATTCCCATCAGCCAACAAACATGCAGCGCTATCTCCCAGCTCAAAAAATAATCGTTTCCTAAAAAACAATTTTTCCTTTTTTCTTTTTTTTTAAGACGGGGTTTCACCATGTTGGTCAGGCTGGTCTTGAACTCCCGACCTCAGGTGATCCGCCCGCCTGGCCTCCAAAGTGCTTGGATTACAGGTGTGAGCCACCACGTCCGGCCAATTTTTCCTTTTTAATAGAGGCACGGTCTTGCTGTGTTGCTCAGGTTGGTCTTGAACTCCTGGCCTCAGTGATCCTTCTACCTTGGCCTCCCAAAGTGTGGCTATTACAAGTGTGCACCACTGTGCTCAGCCCAATAAATTTTTTTTAAAATTGGATTTCTTTTTTT